GAGCGGCGCGCGGGGGCTGCGCCTGGAGACGCTCGTGAGGCCCCGGCCGCGGGGAGCGGGAGGGGGAACCGGGGGGCGCCGGGGGGCGCCGCGCACCGGCGGGGGCACCGGCTGGGCCGGGAGCACCGGGAATCCCGGCGAGCACTCCGCGGGAGGAGAGGGCCCGGCGGGGACACCCGAAGGCAGCGCGGCCGTTTGGGGAGGGGGGCGCCGGTACCGGCCCCGGTGACCTCCCCCCCACAAGTTACTTCCCACTCCCCGTCCCCTCCGCGTCGCCCCCCGTTGCAGGTGGCGCCCCCCGAGGGCTGCACGGAGCTGTCGGCGCTGGGGGACACGGTGCAGATCCACTACACGGTGCGGGCGGCGGCACGAACACGTCAGCACTGGCGGCGGGGGCGGGCGGCGGGCGGGGCGCCGCGGCACCGGCCACCGCGTGTCCCGGGCCCGCGCGGCACCGGCCGCCGTGCGCGGCGGGGGCACCGCGCACCGAGGCGGGTCGGCACCGGGTGGCGCCGGGCCTGGCAGCGGGGCTGGCACCGGGGCAGGGGTCCCGCGGGGGCACCAGCGCCACGTGGGGTCAGGGTGACACTGGGAGCTGAGCTGTGCGCTAGGGTGGCACCGGTGCTGGTACCGCAACCTGCATGGGGAGAGCCCTCAGGTGGCACCGGGACCCATATGGGGACAGCCCCAAGGTGACACTGGGGAGGCACCAGCGTGGGGAGGATGCCCTTTGGCCCTGGGCAGCACTGGGACCGGCCTGGGGGTGGCCCTGGGGTGGCACTGGGATGGCTGCTGGCATGGGGACAGTGGCAGGAACAGCAGTGACCACGTCCGTGCATCCGGCAGGGCAGCCTGGAGGACGGCCGGATCATCGACACGTCGCTGACACGGGACCCGCTCCAGGTGGAGCTGGGCAAGCGCCAAGTGATCCCCGGTGGGTGCCCGGCTGGAGGCAGGGGCGGGGGGACTGGTGGCCGTGTCTGTGTCCTGCTCAGTGTCCCCTCCCTCCCGGCAGGGCTGGAGCAGAGTCTGCTGGACATGTGCGTGGGGTAAGCGTGGCCGGGGAGGACAGCGGGTGCCACTGTCCGCACTGGGGAGCAGCACGAGGCTGGAAGCTGCTCGGTCCGACACGAGGTCCCGGTGACCCCGCCGTTCCTGAGCCCCTCCTTGGGAAGGTGCCTGGGGTCCTGGCTGCCCTGACAGCCCCTCGTCATGGCAGGGAGAAGCGCAGAGCCATCATCCCCCCGCATCTGGCGTACGGCAAACGAGGCTCCCCCCCGACCATCCCAGGTAAGTGCTGCCCATCTCTGCGTGTGTCCCCGCGGTGGCCGGGGAGGGTCCCACTGAGGCCCCGCGCGTCCCCGCGCCAGGCGACGCCGTGCTCAGGTTCGAGGTGGAGCTCGTGGCCCTCAGCCGGGCCAGCTACTGGCAGAAGGTGGTGAACGACGTGTTGCCCCTCGTGTGCCTGGCGCTGCTCCCGGCGCTCCTGGGCCTCATCGGCTTCCACCTCTACCGCAAAGCCAGCAGCCCCAAGCTCTCCAAGAAGAAGCTCAAGGAGGAGAAGAGGAACAAGGCCAAAAAGAAATAAAACGGAGCCTTAGCAGCCGCTGTCTGCTCTGTCAGCCACTTGCTACGGCAGGGACAGAGAGGGACATCCTGCTGGGAAGGGCCGGGGCTGATCGGGGCTGGGGCTCCCGGCTGCTCCTGGCAAGGGAGTTGGAGCCAGAGCTGTGGGCGAGGAGAAATCAGGCGGAGTGCAAATAACTCATCCTCTTTAATGTCACCTCCCGCCACCACGGTCCCCGTGCCGCTCGTGGGGCGGCTGGCGGCCTCGCCGGCGAGGAGGCTCAGAGCAGCCGCGAGGCCACGTGCGCGGCCTCCACGAGGTTGCGCGTGGGGCCCTCGCGGGCGCGGGGCCGGGCGCCGGGGCCGTGGGGCCGCGCGGCCAGCAGCGCGTTGGGCTCGCGGAGCACCTCGTCGCTCACCGAGATGCCCTGCAGGTACTGGCGGAGCAGCTGCCGCAGGCGCCCGTTGCGGAGGCTCAGAGCCGCCTTCTCCCGCGCCAGCGCCAGCTCCTCCAGCTTCGCCTTGTTGAAGCGCTGCCAGAAACGCTCCATGGCTGCGTAGTCCCGCAGGGCCTGCGAGCAGGGAGAAAGGGAAGGGGGAGCAGATCCCCAAACTGTCCCTAGCGCCCCTCCACTGTCCAAAGTGTCCCTCCCTACCTGCGCCAGAGGCTCCGCAGGCGTCTCCTGGAGCAGCTGCTCCGCGTCCCGCTGCTCCTGCTCGCCCAGCGAGCAGGCGTAGAAGGGCAGCACCTTCTCCTCCTCCGCCTCCAGCTTGCGGCACATCTCGGCCAGCCGCAGGATGCGCTCGGCCTGCGAGCGGGACGCGTGACATGGGGGTCCCCGGAGGGGCGTCCCGGGGGTCCCGGCGCCCAGGTCTCACCTTGGCCACCGCGCGCGTCAGCGCCGCGAGGGCAGCGCCGCTCTGCGCCGTGAGCGCGGCCAGGCCGCCGCGTGCCTCGGCCCGCGCCCGCGCCAGCTCCTTCTTGAGCGCCTGCAGCCGCCGCAGCACCACGTCCTTGTCGCGCCGCACCTGCCGGTTCTGCTCCTCGCTCTCCTGCAGGCGAGTCGCCAGCCGGCCCCGCGCCGCCGCGATGGAGTCCTGGGGACAGGCGGGATGGCGGCGCGGGGACCCCTCGCCTCGCGCGCCCGCCGCCGCCGGCCCTTGCAACCTGCAGCCTCTGCAACTTCCGCGTCTGCATCTCTATCTCCTTGGAGCTCTTCTCGTCCTTCTGCTTGAGCACCTCGAAGGCGATTTTCCGGTCCTCCGTGGCCTCCGTGTAGCTGTGCAGGACCTGCTGGAACTGCTTCCACAGGGAATCCACCTTGCTGCCCAGGTGCAGGCGGCTGAGCTGCTTCTCCTCCAGTTGCTGCGGGAGGGACACGGTGGTGGGATGGCCTGGCACCCCTGTCACCCCCTCCGCAGCTGTGACCCCCCTGCACCGAGCGAGGCCAGTCCCTGCTGCCCCATGAGCCCATCCCCATGTCCTGCCTTGTTCTTAATGTCGTCCCAGGCGCTCTGGAAGTTCAGCGTGGCCTCGTAGTTGTTCTCCACGAAGTTCTGCTCCACGGCCAGCATGACGCCCTGCAGGTAGCTGCACTCCTGCTTGTGCTGCTCCACGATGGCTCTCCTGGGACGGGGGCCACAATGCAGCGGCAGGGCAGGACGCCGGGGGCCAGCCCCGACGCCGGCCCTGTCCCCCACGCACCTCTCCAGCTCGAAGTCCCTCTGCAGGGCCAGCAGCTCGGCGTCGTAGTCCTCGCGCAGGTAGCGCAGGCGGCAGCGCTGCAGCTGCAGCAGCCGGTCCACGTTGCGCAGGTGGCTGCACAGGGCCCGGCCGTGCTGCGCCTCGGCCTCCGCCAGCTCCCTGGCCAGGGACTGGGGGGCAGCAGCGTCACGCGGGGGGCTCCGCGCGCGGCCCCCCTCCCCGGGCGGCGCCGGGGCTGCGCTCACCTGGATGACGCTGTCCTTGCAGTCGGCGACGCGCGCGAAGGTCTGGCTCAAGATCTCGAGGTCGGCGCGCAGCTCCCGCGCCTTGGCCGCGCGCAGCACCGCGCGCCACTGCGTGTTGATCTTGCTGAGGTTCAGGGCGCTGCTCTGCTCCTCCTTGGTCAGCTTGTCCTGCACGGGCCGGGCCAGTGAGGAGGAGGGGGGGGGTCTCCGGCCCCACGGGGAAAGACCCCACGGGGGGGGCCTGCCGGCACCTTCAGGAACTGCGTGAGCATCTCGCTCTTCTTCTTGGCCGCCTCCTCCTCGGCCAGCGCCTGCGCCTGCAGCAGCAGCAGCCGCTCCTCCTCCGGCAGCGGCGCCGGCGGCCGGAGCCGCCGCTTCCGCGGCATGGCGGGGCTGGGGGCGCCGCGGGGGCCTCACCGGCGGCCCCGGGGACAGCTCCGTGACCGCCCTCCCCCCCCATGGCTTCCCTTATGGGGAGTCCTCCTGACCCCAGGGGGTCATAGAGCCTGGGGGTGTCCCCCCCCACACTTCCTGAAATGCTCCCCTGTTGGGTGCCCCCCCTTGTCCCCTCCTCTTTGGGGTGTCCCCACCCAGAGTGTCCCCCACTTATTCCCCCGTGGATCGTGTCCCACAATGGGATGTCCCTCCCGAAGGGTCACCCCTCGGGGGCCCCCGTTCCCCCCACAATGGGATGTCCCCAAGGGCGTCCCCTCACCCCTCACAGGAGGTTTCCCCCCCTCCCATAGCGTGGGAACCCCCATAGGGAGGGGCCTCGCCAAATTTGTCCCCAGGGGTGTCCCTCCCCCCCGCGTGTCCCCCCTCATGTCCTCCCCTATGGGGTGTCACCCCCCCAATGTGTCCCCTCCCCCAACGGGGTGGTCTCCCTAAAAGACTTCCCCTGTCCCATTGAACCCCTCAATAGGATCCCCCCCACCCCGGGGTCCCCCGGGCCCCCTCCCCATCACTCCCCCTCCCACCAGCGACACCCGGCTCCACGGTTCGCGTCCCGCCGGTCGCCTAGCAACGGCCACTTCCGGCGGAAGCGAGCGGGCCGCACTTCCGGGGTCCCGCAGGCAGCGAAGCGCCGCCGGATCTGGAGGGTTCCGGCCCCCGAACCGGCCCCGAACCGGCCCCGAACCGGCCCCACCGCCGCCACCCGGCGCCCGTTACCCCGGCCCGGCCCGGCCGCTACCTGCGCCAGGTGCGTCCCGCCCCGCCAGCCTTAAGGGGCGGGTCCTCGCTGCCGCGCCGCCATTGGCCGTCGGGCGCCGCGCCCACTTGGCCATTGGCTGCGCGGCGCCGCCGTGGGCGGGGCGCGGCGGCGGCGGCGCTATATAAGGGCGGCGCGGGCGCGGGCGCGCAGGGCGGCGGGTGGGCGCCGGGGCAGGGGGCTCGCTCGCGCCGCCGCCATGAGGGAGCGGAGGCCGCCGGCGCCCGCCCCGGCGCGCTGCAAGCTCGTGCTCGTGGGCGACGTGCAGTGCGGCAAGACGGCCATGCTGCAGGTGCTGGCCAAGGACTGCTACCCCGAGGTGAGGCGGAGCGGCGCCCGCGAGCGGCGCGGGTCCCTCCGGTGCGGCGCGCTGACGCCGCCGGGGCCGTTGCAGACGTACGTGCCCACCGTGTTTGAGAACTACACGGCGTGTCTGGCTAGCGAGGAGCAGCGCGTGGAGCTGAGCCTCTGGGACACCTCCGGTACCGGGGCGGCGGGGGGAGCTTGGAGCTTGCAGCCCCGGTAACGGGGAGGGGGGTGGGGAATGCGGCAGGAGGGAAAATGCAGCCGGGCTCCGGTGCTGGCGGGGAATGCGTCTGCGGTACCGGAGTGGGAATGCGTGGAGAAGCAGGAGGGTGCAGCTCTGGTACCAGCAGGGAATGTGTTTGGCGATGGAGGGGGGAAGATGGGAAATGCACCCCCTCCCCGTTACCGGGGGAGGATGCAGCAGGCACGGGAAGGCGGGGAGGAAATGCTGGTTTGGTACTGGGGAAAGTGGGGCCCTTCCGGGGGGAGGGAGG